CGCTGAGTGGCAATTCCCCTCAAATCTTTGCGATGTAAATCTCTGAGTTGCACTGCAAGTGTTAAAGATATGCGTGTCGTTTATTGTCTTGTCATTTGATAGTGTATAAAAAATGCACGATAGAAATTTTATTTATTAGGCATTGACTTACACTTATATGGACGTCGGGTCCGCGCTAAAAAGTGTCCGAACTTATAGGGCGTTAAAATCGTATACAGAGCGTCATTCACGCTCTAGTCTTCGTTTGTTCGACTGACAGCGAATCAAGCAAAATTAGACAGTACTGCGATGACATTACAATTTAAATTCAACGTTTTAGCTTTTTCATATTCCTTTACATGTCACTACGTTTAAATAGGTTGACTTGGGACATTTTTTTCGTGGTTTTTGTATTAGACCCGTCGTCCATTTATTTGTAAGTCAATGTTATTAGGCAATAATTTGACATATACAGGTAAGGTACATCTAAAGGCTTAAATGAAAGAACTAAAATTAGGATTAAATTGTATGAATAAAATTGGGTAACCACGCGGCAAGGTGCCCAAGATGTTGGCAGCGTTCCCCCTTTGCATGGCTAGGACCGGGACCGGGACCCCACGGGCAAAGGCAGTAAATACTTATTACTCTTATCGTTTGAAATTAAAATCTTACTTGAGTCTGAATTTTATCATCACATGAGTGCACATCAACGACTACTCGTTAGTTACTTACCGTTTGATTTTTCAAAGCTTCTGCTTCTTAATTCTGGGGGAATTGTAGTGAGAGAGAAAGTATTTTCAAATGCCAAAAAAGGTGCATTAGAGCCATGTGTGAACTAAAACCAATAGAAAGTTGCAGACCAAAGTTCATCTCAAATCGCATATTAACTCTACCCTCTTTATATATCCTGGAAATATGCATCTTTGTAAAAATGAATATAAAAAAAATTATAAAGTTATCGGACGTCAGAGAAAGGCCTATGCGATCACAATATAGTAACTTATTGTTAACAGGTAGTTACAAAACAGCATAGTTGAGAAAGAGTGTAGTTGCCATGGGACCTAAAATCTATAACAAACTACCGGAAGATAAGATCACTACCATTACCATTACTCAAAAAGAAATTGACATCACTATTGATTGAAAAATGTTATTACAATGTCAGTGATTTCCTGCATGATAACTTGTGACAAATTAATTTTAATCATATTATAATTTTTTTATTATTTTTTTTATTAATTTCTGACATTTAATTGTATTTTTGATAAGTTTTATATTTGACATGTTTCATCACAATTATTATGACAATTGAAATATTTCTATGCCTCTTGTTGGCAAAATATGCTGAACTCTATTTTAATTTGTAACATCTAATTTATATTGTACTTACCATATTTACAAGAAATAAATGATATTCTATTCTATTCTATTCTATTCTATTCTAATATACGTCACTCCGATTTTAAGCTATGGCGGAAGATTGTAATTAAGTTCCGATCAATCAAATGGTGCCGATGATTATAATCCATGAATACAGGAGATTATAATTGAAATCCCAGTGTCACTTTAATAGATAAGAATACCGGATTAAGAAGCTATTTTATACCTCACTTACTGAATATAGAGGACTGTGTTGTAGTATAATGTAATCACAGTAATAAGCATAGTTTCACTTCTCATGCTCTAAAAGTACTTCAATATAGTCTTACATAGCTGGAGTAAAGTGTAGGGTGTAAAAAGTGCCAAATTCTTTAATTTACTTCGAGTGACCAAAAGATAAAAGTTCAATAAGTAATAAGTTAATAATTTAACAGTATAATAATTCATCAAAGTAAATAAACCTACAGTATCACTGAGATAACTGCGCAGCGGAAATTTGATAAACATAAGCGTTTGTGTGTGGACCGATTTTTTACGAAAATGTTACGTTCTAAAACTAAGCTCGGTTTTAGTTCTGCGCCTTTTCCGAGTAGACAGTGGCGTCATATTATTTTCCCGCGTACCAAGAATAAACGGGCATGAATGAAGAGACTGATGAGAGTGGAGGAGGCGAAGAAGGAGAAGGAATTCATTTATATAAATGGCAAATTTTCAATGTCAATCGGATTCTTATTAAAGAATTTGCTAGGGTTTTATTTTTTAACTTACGCTATTATTGCAATATGTACCACGAGACGACAAAAAGGTTGTAATAATATATATACTTGAAAAAATTCCCTGTCTGCACACTTGAACCGTCATTGAACTACAGTGAAACCTTTCTCCGTTAGCGCAAGTAAGGAAAACGCGAAATCACACCTAATTTACTTTGATTTCGTGTTGAAAGGGTTTAGGCTGGGATCTACCGAAGCCTACATTTTTCATCCCAAGTCGGCTTTTAATAAATTTATTGAAATCCCAACGTTATATTGTTGCTATTGGAGTTCTTTTGAATTCAGAAATTCTAAGGTTGAGGACTTTTACGATCTTTTAAGATGATTGGAGTTTTGGCTTGTTAATTTTATATTAAGAATTGTTTTTTTTCTTAAGCATTTCAGAATATCAACTATATTTCACGTGTAAACAAAATTTGCGGTGATGATTGAGAGATTGGATGGTTTGAACCCTGTGGCATCTAGTACCTATATATGACTTTAATAATATAAGTTAGGACGTCGTTAGGACTTATAAGGACTTTTTTTTTATAATATCAAGTGACGGTACGAACAAGTTGTTAACCTGATGGTAAGCTACATGTTTGTCCATAACAATTACAGTGCCACTCAGAGCTTTAAATTGTAAAGATCTTAGGAGCGCTACATCCCGAGACGTATGTTGACAAGTCCCATGTGCCTGTAAATTCACCAGCACAGATACCCTTCAAAACCGGAAGACAGTAATGTTTACATTACTGCTTGGTGGCAGAAATGGGTAAGGTAGGAGTCTTACCCTGGACGCACTCTTTCACAAGGAGCTCTACTGCTACTAAAAACGATTTATTTAAATATTTCTTTTATTTATTTATTTCTCCACAGATATACAATTTATACTTATTCTAAAGATCTTACCGACCGGGCATCAGGTTGTTGGCAAGACAACCTTTTTTACATTACCTATATTTATATCGCTATTCTAGTTAATTTTTCATTATTTAAGTTATTACATTAAATACTAGCTAGTTTTCTAAAGTAGCCAATTTTATTATATATCTTTGGTATAACATATTTATTAGTTCTTTTTCCATAATTATTATTTAAAGAATCAAATGTTTTAATTCTGCCCCGTCAATTTATATTTGAAAATATAATGTATGTTCATAGAAATGTAGCATTATTTCCGAAAAACAATAGGCATAACCTTAACCTTGGAAAGAAAAACCAAACCTGCGTCCCTTATGCTCAGACTTGATAAAGTTAGGTCGTCATTTGTAGAGCAAAATTCCAGAAATTGTTCAAAATTTATCAGAAAAAACGCAAAAAACTTGAAAAGCTTGTTATAAAATCTGTGATTACATAGATGTTACGAACGCATGTACGTGTGTATTGAATGTTTGTGATAATACAAAAGAAAAAAAAAAACATTTTTCTCAGGCGAAATTGATCTACTACGGACTTTTGTTTTGAAGTGTCGATGTCAAGTGTAATTTGATAACCTACGAAATAAAGATATTTGAGTTGATATCCATATTACGTATATTTGCGAATGTAGTAATTAATAACAATAGAGCTTGTAAAAGTGTTCGTCTAGGGAATTACTGCTGCCATATCTATTTCTGCTGCCAAGCAGTAATATCAGTAGTAAGGTGAAAGGGTGCACGTGAAATCAAAGGCACATGTGACTTGTCTATTTTATGTCTCAGGCTGACGGAGGTAAGGGTAGGTAGTACCTCTCGGGTCTTTGCGATTTAAAGCTCAGAGTGCCCTGCAAATGTTTTGGGTGCAAGCATTGACTTACAAATAAATGGACGACGGGTCTAATACAAAAACCACGAAAAAAATGTCCCAAGTCAACCTATTTAAACGTAGTGACATGCAAAGGAATTTGAAAAAGCTAAAACGTTGAATTTAAATTGTAATGTCATCGCAGTACTGTCTAATTATGCTTGCTTCGCTGTCAGAAGAAACAAACGAAGACTAAAGCGTGAATGACGCTCTGTATACGATTTTAAATCCTTATAAGTTCGGACACTTTTTAGAGCGGACCCGACGTCCATATAATTGTAAGTCAATGGGTGCAAGTGTCGCTTACCACCAGGCGCACGACTAGTTTGTCCCGATATCGTAAAATAGTAATAATAGTTCTGTAAAGAGTCCCACTGCAGGCCACAGGCCTCTTCTCACAATGATAGAGGTTGGGTTGTAGTTCGGAACGTGGTTTGGAAACTTCACAGATATCATAAAATTGCTTTGCGAATGTGTGCACCTTTGTTTTCATTCACCGAAAAACACAAAATTTCGTACATAAATTCCGAAAAACTCACAGGTAAAAGCCCGGATTCGAACCCACGATCCTCTGTTTGAGAGTAGGTCAACCCAGGCTCAAATCTTTTTTTAATTGTATTACCTTTTGATAACGAAGAAACCTGCATTTCGAAGCACACTCTGCAGAGAAGACCTGTGTACGCCAGTGACAACATTATTCGTATTAGCTCCAAAAAAAGCACGGTGCATCAATACCGAGAAAAAACAAAGTAAGACGTTATCGAAAAGTCATATTTAACGGAAGCAACATTGCGTGTAAATCTCAAAATGAAACAGTGTAAGGCTCGTACGTGCTTAAACAATGTGTCTCATTTGCAATGCAAAGTACTTTCTTTCTTGGCGCGAGTGAAATTTTTCAAAATCTGTACAATTTGTAGAAACGCACGACACGCGACGGTAACACAAAGGGGCCTATGAACGTTTCCTTACGCACATTAGTCACAGAAAGAAAACGCCACACAAATTTGTATAAGAATTCTGAAACAAAGGACAACTTTCTTCGGGAAACGAATTTACGCGAGACACTGTGAAAACTAAGTTTATTTATTAGTGAGAACCCAAACCGAGCGGTCTGGTGCCTTATATATATATTTTTAAAAAAGAACACTGGCTGAAAATATAAGAATTTATTAAAGTTCGTTATAACTTTTCCTTTGGGTTCTACGTTTAAAAAGTTCCGCGCTCGGAAAGTGCTAATTAACGTTATCGTTATTAGGTTACAACGTTATGACGCTTAAAGTTTTAACGCTTATTCTCGCGCTGACAGTGTGCTGTTACTGCGCTGATAACGAAGTGCTGGTAGAGGATGCTAGGGCTAAAAAGAAGAAAAATTCCGCTCGATTATGGGGTAAGTAATGATGGTCGGATTTTTAATTAGAGATAACAAAGCGACAGTTACTAATGTATAACGTTGCCATGTTAATTTTATATATAAAATTCGTTTAAAAAAGAAACGTTACAAATTTTAAACTATTCATTTAATAAATAATATTACACACTGGTTTTCATGGTGTCATCATCTCTGAGGTTCAGGGTTCGATCCCCAGCCGGGTCAATGTAAAAACTAACTTTTTTATATTGTCTCGGATTTGGGTGTTTTCCGATATCCATAACACAAAGTGCTTTAGTTGCTTACCTTGGAATCAGAGCAAAGTATGCAATGTTTTCTAATATATTATATGACATGAGTTGCAGTAGAGCTCCTTGTGAAAGAGTTCGTCAAGGCAAGTACTACCACCTTACGTATTTCTGCCGCCAAACAGTAATATGAGCAATACTGCGTTTCGGTTTTGAAGGGTACGGGTGCTGGTGAAGTTACAGGCACATGGGATTTTTCAACTTGTGTCTCAGGGTGACGGGCGCAATGGTAGTGCCCCTCAGATCTTAGAGATTTAAAGCTCTCTCGTCAGTCGCATGATTTATTCGCCCCGTCATTTAGTATCATAAAAAAACCCTATTAGGGTCAGTGAAATCGATCTTTTCAGACAACTCTATTTCTATTTTTTTTTTTCATCAAAACTTAGCAACCCAGTACAGTATATTATCTTTATTTAAAAATCCGACTGTACTACGTTTTGAGTTTGTTATATTACATTTTTATTATTATGGAATTGAAAATAACCTAACCTCCGGTTAAAAAATTAAAGAATCATCAAAATTGGTTCACAAATGGCGGAGTTATCGTGTAACATACAAAAAAAAGAAACATACAGACGAATTGAGAACCTCCTCTTTTTTTACGTCGGCTAATAATTATGGTACATCAGGTAGAAAGTCAATTTTAAAGTATCATTTTAAACATCCTGCTGCATCAAGAGAAATAATTTTTTTAAATAGTTTTTCGTCCCCGGTATAAAGTCCTATTTTTCAAGATACGACAAGATCGCTTACCGGCGTCGATAATAAAGTTTATGAATGACCTTGTATAATATAGCTTTTTTATTCAGCGTTACGTTATTTTCTAAAGTTAAATTTAGTAGAGACATTTTATATTACAGGAGTTTGTACAGTATTTCTGATTTTTTTTGTAAAGAACGATAAGTAACAAACTTTTACTTATCGTTCTTACTTCTTTCTACTGACAACTTGAATTTTCAAGTAATCATTTATAATGATGGTTTTTTTTGCAGCGATGATTCTATTCTTCGTGATTTCAAAAGTGGCGATCTTCAAAGTGGTCTCAGTGATGTTATTCATGGCAATGTTTCAAAAGCTCTTCGCTTTTGCTGGTATCTTCCTAAAACACTTCTTGAACCAGCGCCCAGAGACACCGCCTCACGTCTACGGACCACCGGCGGAATATAATACTATTCCGTATAGTTACGGACCCCCTGAAACCGAGCATAAACAACACCACCCTGGACATGAATTTGGGTTGCCAGCGTTAAATGATATTGGGGGGTCCTTTAATAATTGGTTGTTTAATAAGAATCACTAGGGTTTATGTTTAAGTTATTTAATAAATGATTTACTTGTATCTAGGAATTGTGTTTTGATATCATTTGTGAGGTGTAGCAAGTGACGGGGCCACAGTTGCAGGGCCCATCAGAGTAAAATAGAGGCATGTTAACAAGTCCCATGTATAGAGATTTCTTTTATACCCGGCCTTTTTATTGTTCAGTGTTATTATATTCCACAAAACTAAATAATAATCATTGTATAGCGAAACTGTATTACAGATAAAATATTTGTTTTATCGGTTAGCATGGGGTGGGGAACTGAAGGCTTTTAATCCCTATTATTAAATTAATTACCGGGTCTAGGAAGGCGGGCACCGAAACTCGACTCTGGTCTGGTTGAGAATAAGTACGCGGGTCAAAATTTCTAAACAAAAACTTTTACCTTATTTAGGATAATCTGGAACAAAACGCTTTCTCGTTTGAATTGGACGATCACGCCATCTGTTATCATTTCATTTGATTTAACTGCCTCCGTGGCCGAATGGTTACCCTGCCGGACTGCCACGCAGAGGTCCCAGATTCGGTTCCCGGGCGGGGAGAAATATTTGTATGGTCTACATTTATTTCTATCGTGATTTTGGGTGTAATTTGTGGTTGTCTATGTGTGTGTCCATGGCACCCGCGACTCAGGGTTTTCAGGGGTGTGCATTATTAAAAATTTCATAGTTAAAACTAAATATTATCGAATCTTTATGACCCTATGTTAGTAATTAATTTAATTTTTACTAGATTATTACTGAACGCTATAACTGGGCTTTTTCAAGGCGAGATTGAATAGGCATTATTTAGGTGTGCATGCTCCATTGTTGACCTTATCATAACTATGGAAATAGAGGTTTAATGCGTGCTTTTTTTTTATAAAAAAATCTGGTATTCCCAGCGGATATGCAAGAAGACGTTTGCGGTTAGAAAATTTAATAGCACTGAATGTACTTATATCACCTCATACAAATACATCAGTGCCCACCATACTGTGTTAATTTTTTTTTATGATCCCTAATGATGGGACCATTGACTTACAAATAAATGGACGACGGGTCTAATACAAAAACCACGAAAAAATGTCCCAAGTCAACCTATTTAAACGTAGTGACATGTAAAGGAATATGAAAAAGCTAAAACGTTGAATTGAAATTGTAATGTCATCGCAGTACTGTCTAATTTTGCTTGCTTCGCTGTCAGAAGAAACAAACGAAGACTAAAGCGTGAATGACGCTCTGTATACGATTTTAAATCCTTATAAGTTCGGACACTTTTTAGCGCGGACCCGACGTCCATATAATTGTAAGTCAATGGATGGGACGAACAAGTTATGTGTTTGGTGGTAAGCGACACGCCTGTCCGTAATAGTTGCAGTGCCACTGAGAGCTTTAAATCTTAAAGATCTGATCGGCATTGCCACTGCGCCCATCACCCTGTGCTATAAGTTGACAAGTCCCATGTGCCTGTAATTTTACCAGCATGTTTACTCTTCAGAACCGCAAATAGTTAAGGTGGCAGTACTTCGTCTGACGAAGTCTTTCACAAGGAGCTCTACTGCTCTAGATGTAACTAACGTCCACAATTTCGTGCGTGTAAATAATTGAATTTCGTCGGTACGTTGTTTATACTTCTCGATGGAGAAACAGTAGGAGGCAATTACACAGAAAGCACTGTAAAGCCCGTAGTTGGTTTTTGAGGTCCATACAGCGAAAGAACGAAATAAATAAATATTTTTATTCCAAAAACAAACAACACAACACATATACATTTAACAATTACGAAAATATATACATGAAAAATCGAAACAAAAAAGGGGAGAAAACGTAGCAGTTAGATAAATAACACAAACAGGAAGGAAATAACAATAACAATAAATAATCGAGCGATAAGCCATAACCGCTCACGCGATAAATGCAGCCGTAGACGCATACCACACCTAGAGGTGCCGGTGATGATTTTATACCGATTTATCGGATATCGAAGTTATAAAACATACCGTAAGTAGCGTTTTTTAGGTTTACCCTGAATATAAATGTTTATAAACTATACTTTAAGGAGTAATTTCATGGTAAACGTTAGAACCACTCAAACGGAACATTATCATATTTATCCAAGTACACCAAAAATTTAATTAGTGCTTTTTAAGTGCAGGATTTGCGGTGTATTACTGCATTTTATTTGAGATGTTTTTGTTGGTAGTGCGGAGGGCATTTATTTAGCAATGCATAATAATAATTTTTATTTATAAAAACTTGTATTTAAACTGAATGCTTTTCTAATTTGCGAAACCAAATAGCCGCCATTTTGCGGTAGGAGAAGCGCATCGCGTGAGCGGATAAGGTGTATATGCTGTGCTTTTACGGAATCCATCATCCACTAAGCTGGATGTCGTCTCACTGCATATGCTATGACGATTTTCAGTAGATGCGGCAACAGGGAACACATCGCGAAACGGGGTTCCCCGTATTATTCCTTATATTCTGGCATGTAATTTCACGGCGAACGCCGTTGCTTTCCATGAACGGGGTAATGATATCGTTAGTTGAAGCTAGGAAACCATATCTTTTAGGTTTATAAGAAATATCTTTCTTATCTCTTGTATTTATGTTGCTCCTGCACCATAAACATAATGTTGGTAAACTATGTTAGCTCTAGTAGAGATGGACAAGCGCCTGGGTTTAATGCCGGGTTTAAATCGGATTAATACCCATGAATGCCCAAGATGGAAGGCAAAAAGTATTTACTAGTATATATTTGTTGTACACAAGTTACAATTATATGTGTTGTTACAAAATATTTATTCCGATTTAGCGTATTAAATTTGCTTTTCTATTGAATTGGCTCGCTTGCAGCATTGAAATAGATCGATATAAAAAAAATCGTTAGATTGTTTTCGTTCGTGACACTTGAATCGATTTTCGTAAAAGTCGAATCGCAATTGTGTGTCCTAAGTAGTGAGAATCCATAGCATTCCAAGGTAGGTATTGGGAGGATTTGACTCTTTTTCATCTAAAAAGATTTTTTTACATCGAAATTTGTAACAAGTATTTATTAATTAAAACCCGGCGCTTTGGGAAATATCCGGTTAAAACCTGGACGGGGTTTTAATCCACTGCACATCTCTGAGCTCTAGCAACACGATATTGCAGACCCGAGCACGTAGTAGTAACCACATATCAAAGGCTAATTGCATTACTGCGGCTGCGCACAAAATAACGGCCGTAAACTGTACCTTAACAAGGCTTAAGAAGAACACCAGATGGACGATCTGCTAAAGAACCGTTTTGTATTCAACCAGATACGTTGGGGAATCCAAGACTATATAAATCTAGAAAACTCGGACCCACTTCGCATGTCGCTTGTGCACTAAGACCGATACGAATCCGAGGAAAATACGAACATCGCTTGTACACCTGGAGATAAAATGATCCCTGTGACATTTAGGACCGTCCTTTGTAGGATTCGGAACTGACACGAACCGGACGTAGTGTGCAAGCGCTCTTGCAATATTTTTCTGCGCACGGGACAAGAGATTGGAAGACCTCAGTAGTACTGTCAGCCACAGGTTAAACTTAACAAAATGTCAGTTTTTGAAACGGCAAATTTATATTGTATAACTGTAACGTGGGAAATCTCCCAGTTTGCCTCTTCCTCGTATTGTAACCCATCTAGAAAAGAAGAAGATTCGGCTCGCGTCGCGAACCGCCGCTAAAAATCGGATTATCGAAAATATAGCGCGCGCAATTGTTCTGCCGGCACGTTTTCGATTATAATCTTTTGTATTGTGAACTAAATACTTATAGTGAGTGTCAAAATGATAATAAACATCTTCATATTAACACCGAAACATTTTCTTCTTCTTAGGGTGCCATCTCCTACCTGAGCGCGGAGATCGGTTATCATTGTGGCAGTTTGAGTCCGTGAAGTTGCGGCTCGGAACAGTTCTGTGGTACTTACGTTGAACCACTCTGCAAGATTTTGAAGTCCTGTGGCCCAGGTCGAGGATTTTTCCCTGCAGAATGAGTTGCAGTAGTAGTTGCATTTCGATATATCTTATGGCATTGCCCACTATACCTGTATAGAAGTCTGTTTCTTGTTGGAATCGAATTCGAGTCTCTTGCAAACGTTTTGCTAACGAAGGTGTCGCTGTTTATTACATATAAAAATCGGATTTATTTGACACGAAAAACAACACACATAAAGTTTAGTTACAAGCAATAGGAAATAATTGAAAAAGAAAAAAAATTCAAAGAAAGTAGCGTATTTGTAACCCAGGCATGTTAAAAGGGTCTTTGAGAGCATGTAAGGAGAATGAGAATACGTGATTCTAGTTATTGTTCTCCTACAGTCCGTCACTGAAAAGAGCACTAGAAACAAATTTTCATTAAAATATAAGTAAAGGCTCTTGATTCGCTGGAACGCCAAGCCAGGAGACTTATTGGCGACGATAACCATGACTATAAACTTCATAGTTTAGCCCATCGGCGCAAAGTGTCGATTTTCTTCATAATATACTTTCATTTCGCCCGCCCCTTTTACCGTTGACCAGACGTACGGCGGGATATAATCCCTAGTTGGTCAATATTTCCTTCAGGCGTACTAAGCGCTTTTCGTCATCTTTTATTATACACAATGTCCAGAAATGGAATTCCCTGCCTTTGACTATGTTTCCGAGCTCATACTACCCGAATATCTTCTAGCAGCTGATTTGCGCCTGTTAACAGCAGTTTACCTTGCACTGCGTCAATCTATCTTAAGCTATTGCATCTTGGTGTGGAGAGGCTCTGCATCTTGCTATATGATCAACTTGGAGAGAGCCCAAAGAAGTGTGCTAAAGGTGATGTTGCGCAAGCCCTATCGTTACCCCAGTCTCGTTATTTGAAGACGTGAAGGTCCTAGGTGTGCGGAAACTGTATATTCTAAAAGCTGCCCTTAATATGCACGTGAAAGTTCTTACTTCTCTGGAATATCCTTCTTTACTTAGGAATCGCGTATTTAAGGTAATAACGCGACCGGTAGCAACAATATTTGCTG